CGTTTGGATTTGAGCATGTAAATCGGCAGCTACGCGATTATTCTGAGCTAGTTGGTCCGATAGTTCAGATATTAGCATCCATATTCTATGAATTTCTTGTTCCATATTTTCAGAAGATCGGAGAAGGCTCGAAATGTGTGGCGGTGTGCAACTTTACAAGTCCAACTTTCGACCAAATTTCTAACATCTCAAACAATCCAAAATGGCAACAAGCGAATCCACTTATCAACTCTTTTGCATGGGAAATCCTTTACTAGATATGCAAATTACAAACGGAGAGCCTCTCTTACAAAAGTATAATCTTAAGGCCAATGATGCTATCCTTGCCGGCCCAGAGCACACAGATCTCTACACGGATATCAAGAACTCCCAGGATGTTAAATATGTTGCGGGAGGTGCTGCACAAAACGCTGCTCGTGGTGCCGCGGTGAGTTTGTGTTGATCGATCTTGGGTGGCGTGCAGTCCCTTGACGCAGCGTTATAGTACATTCTCCCGGAAAAATCTGTCGTTTATACTGGATGTGTTGGAGATGACGATCTCGCCGACAGATTGAGGGAAGCCAATACTAAAGAAGGCGTCGAAAGTGCATACCTTGTAAAGCCTGGACAACAGACTGGCGCCTGTGGAGTCGTGATCACTGGGCATCACAGGTATTTTGATCATTCACTATACCCGGAGTTTACTAAAAGAGACAAGGTCATTGGTTACAACTCTACGTGCTGCTGAATTATTCGACAAAGCTCACCTTTCGACCCCAGAAGTTGCCTCGTTGATTAATGGCGCCAAATACTTCTACATTGGAGGATTTTTCCTTACACATGGTGTAGAGAGTGCAATAGAGCTAGCAAAGACTGCATCTGATGCTGGAAAGGTGTGTATTGAAAGTGTTGTGATTGTCTAATTAACGCATATGGTAGGTTGTAGCACTCAATCTATCGGCTCCATTTATTGCACAATTCTTCAAGGTCCAACTGGACAGTGTTCTGCCTTACGTCGATTACTTGATCGGTAACGAATCGGAGGCAGAAGCTTATGGTGCAGCTGCCGGTCTCGTTGAACCCAAGGACCATGTAGCAATTGCTAAATCTATCGCACTGTTAAAAAAGACGAATCCCTCTCGACCACGTATCGTGGTCATCACACGAGGAGCAGATTCGACTGTCGTGGTGTCGTCGAAGAACCCAGAAGAAGCCGCCACCTATCCCGTCGAAAAGCTTCGAGATGACGAAATTGTGGATACAAATGGTGCTAATATCTGAACTATCGGACCAACTAGCTCAGAATAATCGCGTAGCTGCCGATTTACATGCTCAAATCCAAACG